AACAAGTATCTGGGATTTTCAGCGTCTATAGTATTTAGGTAGGCTGCCTTTCAGGAAGACTCATTTAGGGAATATCCTAAACAAAAGGTCCCGTGTTGGAAAGCTGGAAGAAAAAAAATTGACACCTCCAATACCAGCACAGAAAATATGGTATAGTTGTAGACCCTCTCACTATATTTATGCTCTTTGCAATCTCCCTCTCTAAAAGNAATATGGTATAGTTGTAGACCCTCTCACTATATTTATGCTCTTTGCAATCGCCCTCTCTAANGTATAGTTGTAGACCCTCTCACTATATTTATGCTCTTTGCAATCTCCCTCTCTAAAAGTAGTCCATTTACTCATGTTTTGAGTTTTACCTTGGCCATGTGACATGCTTTGGCTATGGTAAGTTAATACATGTAATAGAGGCTTGAAATGTACCTGGAGAATTCAACTTGGTCTTGTGTTCCTACCGTCGTGTTGAGGGGAAATGTGCAGGCTTGCCCACTCTTCAAAGGAGGCTGACATGTGGAACCGGCTCACTCACCCACAGTGAAGCTAACCTGTCCCTTCTGTCTACATGAGGTAATCCCTGATCTGTCTTGCAGATGAGAGCTTGCTAGAGATCAGCAGCTAAATATTTGTATGCTTCTGAGTTTTCATTGTTCACTATGCAGCAACAGCTGACCAGGTACACTTAGTATTCTAAGGAGCTTCACAATGGCAATGAAAGGTTGGCAAATAAATGCTTTAATCATGAAACAAGTTCCAGAGTGTGAATGTCTTAATAGGTACCTCCCTGCACTAAATTCTGCGAAGTGACCTTTTAGCCTCCAGAGGTATGATGGTTTTAAAAATTCTCTTATATAGTTTTAAGGCTTACAAAACATTTTTTGACATGATCACAAACCTAGCAGAGTTGCTGTCATCTTACCCAAGAAACCTTGTCTGAGACCCCACTCATGACAATTCATCTTCCATACTAGAAAGAAATCACCTGTATATGTATGTGGCTGTCATTACCACTAGATGAGAGCCCATCCTTATGTCCATTATACACTGCTGGGCACTCAGTTACGCCTTTACATAACTGTCATTCTTGCTCAACACTATGTTCCCCATTTCATCATAAAAGCAAAAACTTGTCTATAAAATCTTAACTGATGTGGTCCCATTTACCCACCTGACCACACATTCAAAACTTTTTATCACACTGATGTACCTTAGACTTGAACAAACCAAAGAACTTCCTACTCCTGTCTAGAATACTTTCCCAAATGTATGGCTTTCACCTTTCAGCCTCTTTTTAAATGTCCTATTAAATACAGCCTTCCCCAACCAATTTATTTAAAATACTAACATTTTCTTTTTTCTCCATAGTACTTTGTCCATTGCCGTATCCCCAAGACTCAGAACAGTGCAACACAGCTCATAAATGGTGAATACATAAATGAAAATAACGGAGTACTTAAAACAGATGCTATTTGTGTTGACTGCTTAGAACTCTAAGTAAACTCTTGACAATTCAATTTATTTTTCCTATGAAATGCCAAAATCCACAGTACAATCCCATCACACCTGACAGTGTGGAATTAAGCAACAATAAATGGAAAACAGAAGACAGTTGAGCCCTATTCCTAGTGTGACTAATCTTGGGATGCACTGAAAGCAGCTCTATAAGCACAGGGGCAAAATAGCATAACTCAAACAGATAACAGATTTTCTATTTAAGCCAAGTGCTTTTATCTATCAAATTTAAAGATTCTGTGATTATACATAATTGTGGTAAGACTAAAGACTTACAGTTTTGCTGGGGGAAGGGTAAATTAGTAGAGTCCTTGAAAATAAGTGATATATATTGGTGCATTCATGAGCCTTAAAAATGTCCATATACTCTGACTTGTTCATTTTAGGACTTATGAATAATAGGAATTAACATATGAAGATTACATATTTTTTCAAAATATATATATTAAAAAATATCTTTGACTTCAGAGGGAGGGAGGGAGGGAGAGGGAGAGAGAGAGAAATACACATCTATGATGAGCGAGCCATTGAATGGCTGCTTCCTGCATGTTCTCCACTGGGGACTGACTTTGCAACCCACGCATGTGCCTTGACTGAGAACCGAACTGCGATCTCCTGGACCATAGATTGATGCTCAACTGCTGAGCCACACCTGGCCGGGCTCAAAATATCTTAAAAGCACGTTCATGATATGAATAGCAAGAATCGAAGTATACATATATTGAACTATAGAAAGATGGCCACACACACACACACCCGTGTTCCGTGAGTTTAGTTCTCTGGAGAACCATGGTAAGGCAAGCTGTGTAGTGCAAGAAAACAAACTGAAATCTAGAACACAGGGTGGAAAAAAATGAATTGTCTCGCACACTCACAATTATAAACCTACTTTTTTGCTCTACCAACTTTTTGCTACAACGGTCTTCTTGGTTTACACAATCTAGTTTAATTGCAAGCCAGTGTCCAGGATTAGTTAAGTCTGAGTATTGTTATCCAATATATAAATTACATGAATAGACTGAGGAATAATACCTTGGTAAAACTAGTCAAGGTTCACCATACACACAGGTGGTTTATTTTGGGGTTTCTGGGCTCTTTTTTTCAAAGGGTTGTCCATGATTCTCTATTGTGCCAGGCCTATGTGCATGAGATCTAGGTTTTCAGTTATATAATCAAGAAATACCTCAGTCTGTTGGCCAAAGCAAGCTGCTGGTGTGTGCACTCATATAGATAAATCCAGCCCAAATTCATCCTCAAAAACCCACTCCTATAGAATATGCCAATTTTTATGATGTAAACAAAATCCTGTTTATCTTGGCTTTTTCTAGTCTAATTCAGAATTTCCCTCCTTGAGCCTTATGAAGTTTAAATACTATTAATAAGAACGAGGGTTGAGATTTCATCTTGAAGCGTAATTTCCTTATGTAAGGGAAGTAATTTATGAACATTTCAGAGGACTACGGGTTGTCAAAAGGCCTCCAAAACACTATACCAACTGTTGCGACCCTATTTATTTCGTGAATAACATGTTCAGAGGCCCTAGCATTACAGATTTTAACCATTTTAATTTAGTAATCCTTCAAATCAACTTAATGCATATTATTTCAGTAATCTTAGCCCTAGAACTATAAGCAATATATTGATAGTATTGGCATATAAAAATCCCGAGTTCTTTTGCCTTCAGGCAAGCATTTCAAGACTAATTTATCCTATCCCTAAATTATCTAATGCCATTCTCCACCTCCCGTGGTTCTGATATTGTCTATTTAAATTAATCTATGGCAGCAATTATCCCAAGGGAATACAAAGCTTCTTTCATAAAACCAGATCACCACCACCACTACAGCACATGAATAGACTCCTCACTTAACCTGCCTTCCTATCCTAGAAGAGGAAAGGAGTATCACTACTCTAAATAGCGTATTTCAACCTGGTTAAGTTCTGACTTGTGGCAACCTCCTGGTACCAGTTTTTAATTAGTCAAAATTCTTCCAGATCCAAAAGTTAGGAAATCCAACTGACACTAGCTTTAAAAAAATAAAACTTTTCATTGACAGGATAATGGGTGGCTTACATGCATCAGTTTAATTTTAAGCCAACACCTTGAGATGCTATTAGGCCTGGTTGCTTTTCCAAAGGTGTGCTTATACCTTCGGCCAGTTAGAGGGCAGAGAGATCTTTATTGCAACGATTTTTTAGTGAGGGCAGCTCATTTAGTGAGACCTGTGCCAGATGGCCACACTTCCCACCCCCACTGTCTTGCTGCTAGCCTACCCTCTTCCACCTAGCCAGACACCTATAAGCAGTACTACATTCCTTCATACAGGCTCTTATGTCTACAAAACTAGGCTCCTCAACCTTTAATCTATCCCTTATAATTCAATCCCTATTCTGGGCCATTCTACAACTCAACTTGCATAACCATGTAAGTGGCCAATTCTTATTCCAAAACCGGTTGAGAATTTTTAAAATCTAGCAGGAATGGAGTTACTTAGTTCCAGATGCTTACTGGAAATGCAAACCTGCAGGGGTGGGGGTTCTATGTATTTATAACAGCTATCAAAAGTACAAGAGGCATACATTTGAGACACTGTAACCAAGTAACAAATTAAGGTCTGCAAATATTGTCTATGCCCCATTAACAATCTTTTCAATCATCCAGTTACCTAGATTAGATGCAAAATGGCATCACAATTATGAGTACTAACTGTGGAATAAGACTGCCCATGTTATTCTGATCTTGGCACTGCACCTTTAATAATGTTTGAATTAAGGTAACCACATTAAATGATCGCTACAGACTTGGTCTTGGAAATACTAAATATGTAAGTACAGGCATACCTATTTTTTTTGTGTTCTGCAGACACTGAGTTTTCACCAATATCGAGGCAAGACCCACCAATAGCAAAAAGATAAAGACTTGAATTGAAGGTTCTGGTGGGTTAGCCTTTTTAAAAAAAATAGCAAAATAAGTATTTTTTTTTTTTTTTTTTTTTAAAGACACTACTATTGCACTTTATAAGACTATAGTATACTGTAAATACAACTTTTTAAATGCACTGGTAAATAAAATTCATGTAACTCACTTTCTACTGTGATGGTCTGGAATGAAACACGTAGTATCTGATACTCTTGTACCATATAAAGGTCAGCAGGCCAACAAAATAACCTACCAAAGCAATTTCCCTAGAATTGGCCATGCAAATAACCGAAATTCAGAAGAAACAATACAGAGAACATGCATTTCAGGCACCATCAGGGCAAGGGTGAAGACTACAGTTATTTAACAATACCACCCCCAAGTGGAGATGATCACTCCTGCATCTAGTTACTCACTCAACATATTTTGCAGGAATACATAATTTATGCTTGGTTTAAAAAACATCAAAACAAAAATGCCCAGCACCAAATATATACCTCAGGCCCAAGGGACTAAAAACTATAAATGAGCTAATTATAAGTAACAAGGTTAAAATAAAATCTTTGTAAACTGAGTTGTACCAGCCTTTTACTTTTCATTTGCATTTATTTAACACAGTTCTCAGAACATTTGAGTGAAATTGGGCCTCCTCTGGTAAGCAAAGGACCGGAAATAATATTTAAAAAATGAACAGGCAGTCTTCAGTTCATCCACAACACAGTAGTGTTCCCTTCTCTTTTCCCAAGCTCCAAAGCACCCAGTTTTTTCCATATAGTCTAAAAGCTAGAATGAAGAGTACATTTGTGGTGGAATGTATTGTCACTTGCTGATAACCAGTTGAAATACCATTATCCCCTTATAACAGCTTTAATAGCCTTTTAAAACCATACATTGTGTAACTCTTTTCTTACTCCCTGCTATATATAATACAGATTACATAAAGGCTGACAAATCCACATTAATATAAGCATTAAGCATTTGCTGTATTGTTAGTTCTAATACTAGCAGTACTGAGTTACAGAGCATAATTTTTAACACTTAGCTGCAGGTATATTAAGTATGGTATGTTCCATGGACTGAAGGAAAATGGGCATTTTTTGTCTTCAAATTTACTACTGACAACCTAATCTGAACAGTTCTGCTAAGCACTGATGTTAGAAAGAAAAGTAAAAATCAAACTTTATTGTTGCTCTTTGCCATTTGGTAGCATTTTACACACAGGCTTCGATCTTCAGAATACCCTGGATTCAGTAGAAAAACCTTTTAAATGAAGTTTTGTACAATAAAAACTTCTCAGCAGTCAAAATTTAGACTGTAAAAAAATACATGCAAAACATACTTTTCTGAAAACACTTAACTTTGAACAAAGCACCAAACTACACAAATGCAGAATGAAAACAGCATTTCAACTCCACCAAAAGTAGTCATCATAAAAGGTGTAAAAGTCACCTAACTTCACTAGGCACTGTTCACTTTTTAAACAGGAGACAATAAAAATATTGTCCACAAACAATATCCAAACTAGGGCAGGTTTCAGAAAGTCTTCAGCTTCATGCTTTAATAGCGACCTGGAATTGAGGGCGGGGGGGGGGAAAAGGCATCATTACTGAGAGAACTGATTATCAAGTATACTTTAGTGTTGAGAATTTTAGATTATTCTGCCACTCAGACATTCCTATGTACCAGATTTCTTCTGTGAAAATAGAGGAAGATGTTCACACAAGAGTTGCACTAGAAATGAGAACCAATGTGAAACAATAGAACTGGGAAGCATAACTCAATCTAAGCTAAGGTTTTAAGTCACTCATATGTTCCCAAGCTGTGCAAAAATTAAGCACTACTTAAAAAGAAAAGCTACAAATGGTGACAGTATATACATTTAGTATTTTAAATAGCAACAAGATTCTAAGGGTTGTTTTCACACGTTCTGGAATCCTATAAATAAAGTTTGGGGGATATATACTTATGATTCAACTACTTGAATTAAACCTTTCTCTGCAAAAGAAACACTGTGCTGTCATTTGATAAGTTAGGGCAAGCCATACTATTACAACATATGAACTAAATAATATCGAAATAAAAACTTACGAGGTGAGTATGATCGAGATCTGGAACGTGATCTATATCCTCCACGACTATAGTAAGGAGAAGGTGACCGCCTTCTGTAAACAAATGTAAAGACAGTCTAAGACTCCACAGATCACAATCAGATGAAATGATAAAGATCATACACAATCCCTTTATCTGTTTCTAAACTAGAAAGCCACCACTGACCCTCAGAAATTTTGCATTAGTCATGAGATTTCAAGGTCTGATCACTCAAAACTACCAGAAGTCAGCCAGCTGGGTGTGGCTCAGCGGCTGAGTGTCGACCTAGGATCCAGGTGATCAGGGTTCAACTCCTGGTGAGGGCACATACTCGCATTGTGGGCTAAATCAATGACTCTCTCATCATTGATGTTTCTATCTCTCTCCGAAATCAATATTTATTATATTAAACAAAACAAACTACCAGAAGTCAAATACTCCTTGCTGTGTTTCATCCATCGATAATCTGCTAACCCATTTAAAATTCTATTAAATAAAATATATATAAAAAAAGAAGTCCTTTTCCACTAATTCCAAACACACCCTCAGGAACCACACCCAAAACAAATTTCATTAGTGCATCAAAGCAATTTCATTTTGTGTAAGCAAGACTGACTTGTGTTCACTTACGTATTCTGAGACACTTATTATAAAAAACCAACAAAGAAAATGTAGCACAAGAGGAAAGCTACCAGGAACAGAGACTAAAAATATCATGGGTTCTTTATCAATAACCTCATACCATCATTCTCTCATTAAAGTACAAAACCGTATCACTGAGTAAAAGCCTAATTTCTGCAAACAAAAACAAACAGACATCACTTGGGGCCAGTTACAATATTTTATGAACTTCATGCAATCCAATTTTGTGATGAGACTTATAATCTAACTACCAAAAGACTAGTAACAGAGTGTCTTCACACGAGCCATCTCTACTACTGTACAGATTTTAAACCCTCTCCGGCATACCTGTAAATCTGATCCCTGTCTTGAGCAGCTCTCCATCCTCCGCCTCCTCCTCCTCCGCCTCTGTAAAGGCAGAAATTCATTCGTTTTAATGAGTTATTGAAAGAATACACAACTCATACAGTAAAACTGGAAAAAAAAACAAACAAAAAAACAAGAAAAGTGAAAAGTCGTTTCTTGTAAGTAAAGTGATAAAGAGCTATTTTTGCCACCCTTTTAATAAACTGGCTTAGAGCTCACTCTGGTGGCTAAAACATGTATCATTAGAACAAAGGATATTTCTAAGTAAATGCTTGTTAATGAAAATAAAAATCAAAGCTACCATTTTAATAATATTCTCAGCTTCCACGAAACAATCCCTCAAGTGCCACTTAAAACAAAAGGACTCTAAAGACGCTGGATAATTTCAGTGCAACCTTAGGAGCACTTCTATAAGATAGTAATGCATCAATAATTGTCAACTTCTTAAAATGTTACCAAATCGTGGGCATAAAAAAAGATATCCACACCCTAACATCACACCAAAATAAGGTATCATGGATTACTACTGTGGCCAATACTTACTAAACAATTTACATTTTGACAAGGCAAGTTCTAAATTACCTGGTTCTGGCTAAAATAAACTTGCCCTTCATTTTTTATCTTTGAAAGTATTCTCAAAGAGATGTCTTGTTTTTCAAGTATGAGAGGCATTTCCCTACCAACCCCCTAAAAATTTATCAATAGTTGGGTAACGAACAAACTCTCAGCATTAATACAAAATTATTGTTCTTAAATACTTTTATGGGCTCTTCCAAAAAGCACTTTTACCTGCCTTTTAGTGTATTATACATTAGACATACCCAGAAAATGTGTTATTCAACTTACCTGTATGATCTGCTATAGTAGTCCCGATCATCATAGCCTCGATCGTATCCTCTGTCGTAGTAATCACGGCGGCGTGAGCTGCCACTGTGAATAATAATATATCTTCATAAAATATCAAGTGGTCATTCCTATCTTTCTAGGAAAGATAACTTAAAAAAAAAAATAACTTTTGCTGTTAAAAACTATTCAGATATTTGTTAACAGTAGCAAAGGAATGCCATGCTCATTTGGAGCTTAATAGTAACAGAACCTGCACAGCCAAGCTCTTTAGGACATGACTGGGAAATTGCTTCAAGTGTGATCTCTCTACTCTCTTCTCCTGGGCAAAAATTTCATATAGGCCTGCTATAAATCAACTGGGAAATGAGTATTACTTCCATTTGAATTCTAATTGTTAGTGGATAAACAATGCTTATTTTCTTCCCTTGTAACAAGGTACATACATTTAAAAAAATCTTTTCATTAAAGAGGCACACATATCCTACTAATTTGCTTTTAACTTTAACTTGCCAATACCACATTTTTCCCTAGAGGAAAATAAATATGGTAATACAGTTTTGAGAGAGGGAAAATGTTCAGCCTATCAGAATATGGTCATTATGGTACAATTCTCTACCTTATATAAGAGCATTATTTTTAAATTTAAAAATGAATTCAATTTAGAGCAGTCAGTAATATACACACTGGTAAGAAGGATGACAAATGAGAACTGTCTGTTCAGTGGAAAAACTAAAGTCCGTGTTTCCCACTCTGCTTAAGGAAACGAAAACTAAAGAATGAACTTAAGTATTATTTAAAACTTGATTTTAACTATAATGGTTAAGTTTCCATTCTGGGGAAACGTCTAAATCAGAAATATTTAATTAGCCTGGAAAAGTCAAATATATGGCATGTCTTATGATAAAGTGGGATGGGATCTATGTAATGTTGTCAACCAGAATTTGTGCCATCAACAGCATGTTTCCATTGAATATGTTTTATCAAATAGTTTTAGCCAGTTAAAAAAAAAACAGGAAAAATGATTTATACCATGGCAAGACTAGATGAAATGCCAAAGATTTCCCCGCAGTACATGTATTTCTTGGAGGAAGTGAACAAACAGAATCAATAAAATTTCTACCTTGAAAATAAACTTACTAGGTAGGTCTCCCCATGTAAATTCCTGGTGTTGGGGTATGTGGTCTTTTTGTTATAGAGAAATCAACTCTGATTCTCCGTCCATCAAGTTCCATTCCATTGGCACGCTCCTTTGCCTTCAAAAAACACATTAAGTCATCATATACACCCTGGACAAAGTCACAAACTATCCAATATCTATAAATAAGGTCTGACTGATGTTTCATTTAGATGCATTAAATAATTTTAATGTTGGCAGAACATTATGGCCTACAACAACTTTGTTTCCCCTATTAAATTTTAAAAAGCTAGCCATGAAACTCAGAAAAGTTTATCAAAAAAGCCACAGTGGGAAATTTAAACCATGAATTGAAGCAATTATACTATTTAATAGCAAATTTCCAGTGCTTCTAGCTCTAAAGCAGTACGTATTTGGCAAACTGAACCATAAACTAAGATGTGAAATAGCTAGGAGTGATAAATGAAAATTACATGAAATTCAAATTTCAATGGCCATAAATGCTTTATTGTGATGAAGCCCCAGTCATTACTTTACAAACTGCCTATGGCCGCTTTTGTATTACAAAGGGCAGGATTGAAAAGTTGTGACTGATATCCTAATGGCTCACAAGGCTTCAAATTTTTACTAATTTTTAACAGAAAAGTTGATGGACCTCTGCTATGGAAGTAAAAAACTGGAAGACAGCTACATATAGTTCCTTCATCTAGAATACAGTCATTGAAACAGTATGCACCTCAAAGCAAAATAAATCCTATTCCAAAGACTTTGCAGTTTGCTCACCATTTAAAGAACACCCCTCCATGTAAGTAGATTTTAATTTCTAATTCCAATTATGCTATCTTCTAGTTTGAAGTTTAAGGCCTCAGAAGCTAGTTTCTGATACTATTGATTCAGATACAAAATATTCTATTTCTCAAAAAGCTAACTGTGGTCCTGTAGCAAAAAAGTATCTTTGGGTACCAATCATTACTAAAATTAAGCTGAATGACATTGTAAACCATCCTTTCAAATCTCTCAAGTTTTAGTCATCTATCATAATTACTTTCATTTAGCTTTCCATTCTTCCTTTAGTAGTTCAGGTTACTCTTTTGTTTTCAAAAATTAGTTTACTTTTCATAAAACTACTATATAATTTTATCTAGAGCTGAATTCCCAATCTCAACACTGACCTCAGATGGTTTATCAGTTCCCCAAACTTTAGGGCCCTTGGAGATGACTTCAGCTATTACCCATATGCAAGTGAAGTCAAAATTCTTAAAATGTGGCCCATATTCACGCTATAAACTTAGTCTACATACAAGTTTACTTCCTACATTCTGCCTCAAGTCAATTAGTATCTAAACTATAAAATCACTTTGTTAATATATATTCAAATCAGTTCCTTTTTCTTGAGTCATATAATTTTTAAATGTTCTTCTCTATTGTAGAAAATGGCTCATCGTAAATAGAGTAAATATTCTAGAGTATCCTTATATTTTAGATAACTATATTTAGTGTGTATGTGTACACACACACACACCACACCTGTTAACAGTCATATATGAAGTGCTATGTCAGAATTTACTCCAAAATAATGTTGTGGTAGTGGCAGGTGAATAAGTTGGAGTACAGCAGGCCAGACATTAAGTATACAGGGGGAGGAAGAGTGAATCAATTGCCCCAAGCCCTACTTTTTTTGTTAGTCTGTATATATTTCAAATTTTCCATAATAAAAGGTTGAAAAATGTCAAAGTATTACTGACTTCAATCTGTTCCCAGAAGAATGCTCCTTTAAGCTACATTTATGCATCCTATCCACAATATAAAAAAAACTGTTCTTACTCAAGTACTTAAGAGTTTACAATAGAACTATTTTACAAGGCACAGGTATGCTTTTACTTACTTCCTTGGCATCATCTACATTTTCAAAATATACAAAGGCAAATCCTCTTGAACGTCTAGACTGCTGGTCGTATACAATAGACACATCAGCAATGGGGCCATATTTGGAGAATACTTCTCTTAGATCTCTTTCTGTAGTGTACAAGCTCAGTCCAAACACTCCAAGACAACAGTTGGGATCAGGATTTGCCTAAAAACAGAAAAATGAATTTTAAACTTTTAAAACTTTGTCATAAATCAAATAAGAAAACCATAAACAAATCGCCAAAAGTGTCACTACCAATAAAGTAAATAATAAACAGACTATTAAACACTTTAAGTAGGAATGTGTTATAGCAAGAACGAGCGAAAGGATTACAACAGGAGTAATTTCAACCTTAGAATTAAATGGAGGGAAAAGGGGGCACATACTACTGGAAAAGAAAACTAACTTTTTTGGGGGAGACTGGTGGGCAACTTGACTTTATTCTAAGAAATGTCCACATTCACAATATGTATACATAAGGATAATCAGAATAGCACCGTCTCTACAAGTGAGAGAAATGTCAAACTATTAAAATGCTGAATTAAGATATACCACCCATACAATGGAATGCTCTGAACTGCCAAAGATATAGGGCATGCTAGGCTAGATTCTATTTTTAGAAACATTACATACACAAACTATTCACATAAAACACAAATGAAGTCATAAAGATGTGTACTAAACTGTTTTAACAGGTATTAAGCAGCTTGCTTACAATCATAATAAAGAAAAACGAGCAACATCTTGCTGACATTCCAGTTGCCATAATGAATTTACCCCAAGTTTTCATCCCCCCCCACACATTCGCTCTAAATTCCATTCCACTATCAAACACCCTCCCCCAAAACCATTTAGATTATACAATAAAATCACAATATAAACACACTAAATGCCACCTCATTTGAAACCTCTCATGGAGAAGAAAAAGCCTTACTACCTGAAGAAACTTGCTTACAATTAAATAAAAAAGCATTATGTAAAAGGTATTAAAACTACCCAGAAAACTTGAGTAACCTGAGTATTGAACAGATATATATACATATATATAGATGTTATATGATGTGATGGACTAAAGTTATAGCATTAGTTATATGGAGATTTTTTATTTGATGTGCTGAGTTACCGATGTAACAACATACTTAAATGTGAATGATAGCCCAAATTGTAGATCATTACATGGGTGACACCCTTTTATTTACTAATTTTTAAAAGAATGAGACGGAGGGGAATATTGGGGGCAGGGGGTGAGAAAGAGAGAAACCAATTTGTTGCTCCACTTATTTATACATTCATTGGTTTATTCTTGTTATGTGCCTTGACCAGGGATGGAACCCACTACTACCTTGGCATATTCAGGACGACTCTAACCAAGTGAGCTACCTGGCCAGGAGTGGGATACCTTTTAAAAAGAGATTTTCTCAAAACACTAAAAAGCCTCAAAAGGTAACTCGTGTATTCACCGCCAATGCGTCACTGTCAAATAAAATCAGTTCTAACTTAGAAAAAAAGGACAGGACTGTACTAAGTGGTTTTATAGTCCATTGCTTCAAAACCACAGAATATTTTTCACCTTACCCGATTCCCAACATGACGTCTGCGAGTAGACATGGGAGAATGACTGTGGCTATGACGTCTTCGATAATCTCGACTGTAAGACCTGCTACGGGATCTTCTATGGGAGCGAGACCGAGATCGTGACCTTGTATAATGCCTTCGAGAACTTCTTCTGGATCTAGACCTGCAAAACAAAAGCTTCAAGGTCACGACTCAATAGCTGACAAGATACACTGCTTTCAATTCTTTTAATATTCTATTCTAGAGTTAAACTCTGGAAGACGAAACTCAATCCATGCATATACTAACATGATACTATCTGGGGTAAGGGTATCAATACTTTCCCCCTGTATCAGTAGTCAATTCAGCTCCGCTAGGAAGAGTTCCAAAACCACTAGCTCTTGCCCAACAATTCTTAAAACGAACACATTCAATTATATTTTGAATATCAGAACACATGCACCCACACTAGCTTGATCTATATCCCCCTCTCAGAATACCACCCTATTTTCCTGCTCTCATTATGCCCACCATTCACTTAAGATAAAATCAACATGACAGTAGTTCCCTCCAGCAGTGTTTTAAAATCAACCAGTTACTCTGAACTAGATAGCGATAATCTGAATTGTCATGTAAACCCGGAAGGACACATTGTAAAAGAGAAGCGGTGCTGCTAATTATGCCTGTTAACAGGCATATACTGAGGCTGTCCTGAGCAAACCAGGATGTATGGCCTACTCTTGACCGTTAAAAAAAAAAAAAGTACGTGTGGTATTATTTTTGTTTTATACGAACATGTAGTAACACTAGACTATTAAAAATTGCAGTGACTGAACGCCAATGTTCTGCAATGTATTTGCCATAGTAATAAACAGTTTACTTAAACTCATAGTGAATCCTCACAATTCTGAAGAACTGGTACTATTACTAACTTGCCTTAGTAGATAAGGAAACTAGGGTAGGAAAAAGTTAAGTAATCTGCCCAAGCCAGGAAAAAACAGAGAAGATATGAAGCCTAACTAACTTAAAAGCCCAGGTTCGTAACCACTAAACGTAGTCTTCGGTCTCCCAGAAGTTTTAAGTTCATTTCTAGTAACAATATTATACAGGCCAACAAATGATCTAACCCTCTCTATCTTCCTAGTTCACAAACCTCACACCAATTTCAAAGCTAAGAGTAACAGAAGGAAATCCCAAGACAGTCTTTCTTACCTAGATTCAGATCTGGACCTGGACTTTGATCTGGAACGCCTGGAATCTTCCTTGGAGCGAGACCTTGCAGGGGTATGCCTTGCAGATTTCCCAGATCCATGAGCACTTCCACTTCTGGAAGCAGAACGGGATTCCTACACGTAGATGTCAAAAGTTTAATTTGTATACTTTCTGGGCAACTTTAAAAACAAATAAGCTGCTGTGAGATAAATGGTGAGGGAAAGCAATCCCCTTCCAAGATAAGAAAACACAGGTAAGGGCAGGAACTGAATATACCTGGTATAACAGTTACATTGCTCCAACTGACTTAAGTAGATTAACTTGAACTTCCACCTTTTTTTGGAGCAGGGGTAAGAGTTAACTGACCCCACTCCCTTCAGAAAGGGGTGTCAAAGCCAAGCAGCTGAGGGATTGTCCAAGGACTGTGTTTAGGGAATGTTACTCCATAAAGACTAGGGTGAGAAAGAACCTTATTAGTAACTATGATATCTATCCTTTTATACCTATTTCAATCAAGTTACCACCAACAAAACCAAAACCCTATGAAATTCATAAAACTTACTTTTTAAAATGCTTTTGATTTTTTAAATAAGACCTCAGCTTTTCAAATTATATTTTTTATTCAGTGGGAAGAGACAAGGACCATCTTTTCAAATCCTAGAGAAATGTAGAAAGCCTAGTGGAAAGCAAGGACCAGCTTGAAGGACACTAGAGAGATAAGACCCTGTTCCATCTAACCATGGTGGGAGGCCCTGTAAGACCCTTAAAGAAATCAGATGGAGCTACAGCAGAAAGGCAGTGAACTGTGCAAAGGTAAGAGTAGAGAAGGTGCCAGAGAGCTATAGCTTCCTCTGTTAAATGGAGATGAGCCAGGGCAACCAGAAAACAAGCTAGAAAAGCTATTTAAAGTACCTATTAACACCAGAACATTAAATTAGGAGCTTCTAATCTAGGCTCAGAAAGGGAATCCAGGAATTACAGACAAAACCCAAATCTAGGTATACGCTATATACCCATAGCTTTCCCAATCAAAACTAGGGCTTGTCAGTGAGGCAAAAGACAGATCTCTCTCAAAACAAAAACTAGCAATGGAATGGGTAAATAGGATAACCTGCAGTTCACTAATTATACATATATAATTAGTAGTGGAACCAGAGAAGCATTCTGCCAAGCTGCAGCAACAGAAAACTGGATAGAGAACACCTACACTCGCACTACTGATAGCTAACTAAGGATCATCAAGCAAGACAACCTTTATTTCAAGTTATCCAATCTTAGGCAAATTAAAAGGCATGAAGTCCAGTGAGTCCACCCAAGATAGAGCAAAAATGGCCAGGCTCAAAAGGAACCAACATTACTGTAGAGGTAAGAACAGATGTTGAAGATGCTGGATACACGTTATCATAAAGAGACCAACCACCCTGTGTGGTAGACCTTTAGTATATTCAGGCTATTCATAAAAAAAGATAAAAGAAAAAAAGAGGACACAAGATTACTTTAAAATTATAGCCCCAAACATTTTAGACTATGTTCTGGATTTACAGCACAATGGAGAAAATTTGGAGGACCCTTTTTCCTATGACATTCAGAGGAAAAAAGTTCATATGCACAATGAAGAGACATTACAATTTGAAGATTAGAACAGGGAAGAGTTAACTCAGCCAGTAAAATGAGTTTTGGTCTCTAGGCCCAAAACAACTTTAGAAACTTTCCAACATTTCAAAGTCATTATAACATGGTGTGATGTGACATGAAATGTGAAACTTTCCATTCCTTCCCTCCACGAGTGACTGTAAAGAGAGCCAAAGAAAAAGATGGCATTCTTAATTGGACAAAGTTGCTTTCAAAAAATGGGGGCATAGTTTCTACCACAGGCAAAAACTAATTTAGAAGATAGTAATAGGGACCCAAAAGGTACTAAATGCCTTTATTACACTGTTAGAACAATTATGTCATGGAACAATTATAACCTTTAATGGATACCAAAGAAAACAACTTGCTCTGGAGGGAGAGCAGAATGTGGGTGCTTCACAGTAAGAGTTAAAAGATTACTGACAAAGCTATTGCAGTTAACTGAAGCCTGTCAGCCTAGAGATCTGAGTAGAAAGGAAGAGAGGGTAAAGTCAAGATCCTCCTCCTTTAAAAAGCCTCTTGCTTCATTAAATAGAACAGCTGAAATGCTTTTTACCGGTCTGTTCACTAAGAGAAGAGAAAGTATTTCTAAGCTGTAATGAGATTTCCCCCCATGAAATTCTTATCAGGTCAAGAGTCAGAAATGCAGTAGCTGTGAAATTATAAGACTTTTCACTCAGCCTCTGAAACTAACTAGCATATGCAGATATCCTGTGAGAAATCACTTCTTCAATCAGGAAAAGGGGAAACACCAGAAAGCAAAAATTTCCCCTTCTATACTGATACTTGGTTAGGCTAACAGCTAAAAACAATGCCTCCAACTTTTTTCACCAGGGAAATTCTTAAAGAAGTTAAACCCTTTTGTAGTTATGCTGGCCATTAGCTGGTTTGGAAATACATGCAAGGAAATTTAGCCTAAGAGAAATGAGATCTAAAATTATTAGCCAAATCTGAAAGCACATAGTTAACTTTAAACCTTAATCCACAGGCAAATCTGTAAAACCAGCTAGGAAAACCCTCTACACACAAGGAAACTCGAAGCCCACTCTCGGCTGACAAAACTACAGGTGCCAACATATTAAAACCTACCAGAAGAAGCACTACTCTGGACTGACATCAACACCTTAAAAGAAAAGGAACACGAACTAAGATGAGCATAATTAAAATAAAGATAAAACCCCCCTGAAGCTGCTTAAGGAATTAAATTCTTATAGACTGGATCTTAGTCCTATACAAACATAGGACCTACAGGGAACACACCAGGAAAAAATAAACTCAGCCTTCTAACAAAACACCTTAATCTCCACCTCCCTTTTCTGAAAAAGGCAGTAATACTTTAGAAAAACTTTTGAAAAAGGTGACAGAAGTGGAAACAACCATCCAATTGCTAGGTTTCTCCTGAATTATTTTAAAAACTGGATGCAGTAAATTAGATTTAAAACTGGCTCTTATAAACCTACACAGCATTTAAAAATGCAAATCCCCTACCTGAAGTTGATTTTAGTAGGTCTAGAGTTGGGTATCTACATTTCTTAAAAGCACCACACACGTTTATGATGCTTGTTAAGGCTCACTGATTTAGTCAACTTCTAAAGTTTTATGCACCCTACCTATCTGGTTTTCCTTGGCAAAGGCATATTCCTGGAACCTTGTTTGTGTTCTCTCTGTGTTCCACCTGCCCCACACCCAGCATTTATCAGCCCTCTTGGGGCATGTACCTTACTGCCCAGGACTGGAGGCCTGTCCCTCCCTCTTACCTCCCCAATACCCCCCCCCCATGGAAACAAACACCTGAATGGATGATATGGTCAAATAACATCAATATTTATTTTCACCCTTTATCTACCTTAGGACCTTTAATCAAACCCTAAACTGCCTTCTTCCCCTTTGAGGGCTAGTAAGTCTTCTCTCTTTTGGACCCCAAGGACCTTTCAGGTCTCCTAATAAAGAATCCATGGGCTTGAATAGAAATACCCATTCACATCACTTTTACCTCAACTCTCTGCCTAACTGGTGAAGTAATTCAGAATGCAAAGTTAACATTATTAATGTCATTAGTTTGTATGCGGCAAAAAATTTTACAAAGCAGTAATGGGGCAAAGCAAATGCTGGAAACTGCCTCCTATAAATGGAAAATTCCACCTTCCTTGCAAGATACAGAAATACTATAAAAAGGCCAATTTCACATTGACAATAGGCCCTATCATCTCAGAAAATGGGATCCCTCTAGAAATGCAACTTAAGCCACTTTTTCGATGAGCAGGATCTGACAACTCTCAGAGGAAAGTTTTTTTAAAAAGTTGTAACTGAATTTATTGGGGGTAACATAGGTCAATAAAATTATATAGGTTTCAGGCGAGAGGCAAAGTTGTTTAGGTTTTTCATTTCAGAGAGAAGTGATAACCTTGGCTTCCCCAATAGAGTAGAAGACAGCTGTTGGTTGGCTACCATTGAGTGTAACACTTTGATGTGTACTTGTTCCATCCAACTGAAGGTAACATCATTACAACCATCTGACTCTTCTATTCAGCTAAAACAAAACACATAAAGGAAAATAACAGAACTTTTGGATTTATTCTCCCAATAACAGTGGGAGTGGGGACCAGAATAAAGCTACTTTATAATCTATACCTCTTACATCATTATAATAGCTAAGTGTTAATAGCAGAAAATGAGAAAAAGAAATAAAGCTGATTTCAGAATGAAGCACCTGCTACTATTGCCACTTTGAGTTAGATACCTGTTCACCTGCATGTGTGACTCACCTTATTCTAAGGGAAGCCACTATATTTTTAGTAGTAACTCTTGTCATTCAGCTGGAATAAGTATTAAAAAGAAAAGGATTAAGAATCATCCTTGTGAATTTAGCACACATGCATCTTAAAGTTAGGACCTAAGTGGTCATAGCTTTCCACTATTGCCATCTGTAAAGAAGTTAATGTTTTTCATAAATGCCAAAAGTATCCTGTTCAACGTTTTGCTTTGATTCTGAGGGTTTGGTTCTGTAACCACCCTGGTGACAGTCGTTAGGAAAATCTTGACAACATCCTACCATATAGGGTGGGGCAAAAGTAGGTTTACAGTTGTTCCTATGGAAAATACAACAAATTTTCAAATACTCAAAACTGTAAACCTACTTTTGCCCCACCCTGTATATTCCTCAGTACTGGAGGGCAGGGGTCAGTGCATAGTAAAAGTCCAGGCGGGTGGCAGAGACTACCAGTTGCAACTCTGGAGGTACTCATTCATGCCCCAGGAGCAGCAGAGTTAGAAAGAGGAAAAATCTAGAGGAAACAACATGAAGCCAACTGTTATACATGCTGGAGAGCTCATTCCTGCCTGGTATTTGACTACAAAGGGTTATTTTTTAAAAATTGCATTTCAATATAATTTGACTAATAAGTTAAAATTAGAATTACCTAATTTAAACGTTTCCCCTGGAAGGCACTTCTTTACCCTGTATATATTTTCTTCTATTAAACAAATAATGCATGCATGTTTA